GCAAAAGTCGAGTATGGTCAAGTAAAGGCTGTGAAAGGACTTGGAGCAGGACAGAGAGTAGACTGCATGACATATAGCCTTTGAAAAGGAAGTCTCATAGTACGAATAGTGTAGCCCTGTGCAGTAGCTCTTTTTCTATTCTGGACCGTTGACATTCCCGTTATTCTGTTGCCTGTGACTTTGCCTTTACTGAAGTCGAATTCCTAGTGCAGGTCGTGTAACATAATCCACGTAGAGTTAATTATGGTTCTTCTAATGTTCAGATGGGTATGGCTGAGACAACTTGTCTGACTGAGTAGCAGCACCCTAGTGAGCAGATGTGTGCACTGAAGAGTTATATTGCTGTGCAGAGCAGAGCACTCCTCAAATGAGCAATATAGGTGCCAAGAGGCATATACACAAATGTCATATTCTTAGGTAAAGGCACCGATCAATCCTTATATTGTAATGACACCACCAGTAATTGCACTTTGTAGGTTATTGGGAATGATAATGTCAGGTACACAGCTGGATCTGTGTGCTGTTCGCTTGCTTTTCCTGGCTTCTGAGTAGACACCTCAAAGGCTAAATGACATGGTACAGGAAAATTCCTAACACCTCTCTCTATGGTGGCTGCAATGGGGACAGATTTATCAGCTTCCATGGTGTTGTTGCAGATATCCTCGAAGACGTGATAAGTCTTCATGGCAGGAAATAGATATGTTCAGCTTGATATATTGAGGGGTGCCTCCTGAATAACGTTGCAAGCCTGCTATTTCCATGCCAGAGCTACTGACCCAGGAAACAGTCATCAGGAGGAGCAGTACGAATAACAGCCTTGTTATGATGAGGCTCAGTCATCGCAGGCAGTGGAGGGGTGAGCCCACATTGGGTAATGATTGAACCATTGGCAGGAGTTTACTGATCTTGGTGTTAATTGCCTTGAATGCTGCACTGGTGATTGTAGCTAATGATTCTACAGCAGCTCTAACAACAGAGATGTCTGGTTTTAACTCATCTCTGATCTAAGATCAATGTATTTGTCTTAGGTGTCAGATTCACGCAGAGCTCCTTTTTCCTCTTTGTAGCTCTCACTCTTCAGATGAGCTCCATGGTTGGAAGCTCCTCTAATCCTCTGAGTCTGAGAGAGCTAAGCTTACCCCTTGAGCTATCACCTCAGGTATCCTGGAGGTAACTCCTGGAGTAGTGCTGCTCCAGGTTGTATCCTGGACATGGCTCTATTGACCTTGAAGCCATGGATTAGGAGCCTGCAGAGGAGCTCTGGAACTGCTCTGACATTTTCAGAACCCAACACTGGTTCCAAGGCATAGTTTTTAGTGGTGGAGAAACTGGACACCATATGAATATCTGTGAATAAGCAATAAGGGATAAAAGATTAATTTCTGATACTTCTAGACTATGGAAAATGATACAGCTGATAAATAGAAATAAATTAGATTGATATGGTTTATCTTAAAGGATACTGATTATAAAAGCAAGTATCAAATCAGTTTGTTTAGAATGAGCCCATATTCATCAAAAATTCCATATGCTTGTGTATTTGAAAGAGTTTGGAAGAATACTTGCTAAAATATTAACATTGGTTACCTCTAAATTGTGGGGAAGAAAAATGGGGACCTCTTTTAGAGGATTCCATACCTCTAGGGAATGGATTATTAGCTTGTACTTTATATATCTTTGGATTTACTCACTTGTTACAAAATTAGTTGTCATTAAAATTAATGAAAAAAAATTAATTTTGGTAGGGGAAAGGATTATTAAATTTTTCTTAACTTACCCAATAGTATCTAATACAGTAAACATTCTATAAATATTTGTGGAAGGAGAGACAGGAGGGGAGGAGGAACAGGTTTAAATATGTTTGGTAGAGATAAAAAGATACCCATTAAACCATTAATGGCATGATGAAGCATGGCAGAACCTCTAAATGAATAGTGGGAGGGAGGAAAAAAGAGATCCTTGATCAGACTGGCAAAATAAAATGGGAAAAAGTGAAAAAAGCAAAGTAAAAGAAATAATAGACACCAATGGAAGAGATAAGATCAACCCTGCAGTTACTCCAATAAATGTAAATGAGTTGAATTTACCTATCAAAGGAAAAAATTTTTCATATTGGGTGTAAAAACTCAGCTAGGTGTTATTTACCTAACTCAGCTAGGTGTTGTGCATCTGTTGAAACACATAAAACAAAGTAAACATATAACAAAAAGGATCCTATTCACAATCCACAAATACCATTAAAATATTTCAGAATACACCCAGCAAGACAAGTGCAAGATGTGTATGAAAAAAGCTATAAAATTTTAGTGAATGTATTAGTTTCCTATTGCTTCAGTAACAACCACAAACTTAGTGGCTTAAATCAACTTAAATTTATTATTTTACAGTTCTGTAGGTCAGAAGTCTCACTGAGCTAAAGTCAAGGTGTCAGGAGGGCTGTGTTCCTTCTGGAGGCCTAGGGGAGAATCCTTAACACCTTGCTCATTCATGTGTTGGCAGAATTCAGTTCTGTGAGGTTGTAGGACTGAGATCTTTGCTTTCTTGGTGACTGTCAGCTGGGAGCCACCCTTGGCTCCTAGAAAGCTCTCTTGGGTCCTTGCAGAGAGCCCCCAACATTTCAGAAGCAGCAGCAGGACACAGGATCCTTCTCATGCTTTGAATCTCTCCTGTGATTAGATTAGGCCTACCCTGTATAGTTCAGGATAATCTCATCTCAAGGTCCTTAATTCTTTTTTTTTTTTTTTTTTAAAGATTTTTTTTTTTCAGTTTTTTCCCCCCAAAGCCCCAGTAGATAGTTGTATGTCATAGGTTCACATCCTTCTAGTTGCTGTACGCGGGACTCGGCCTCACGTTGGACGGAGAAGTGGTGCCTCGGGGCGCTCCCGGGATCCGAACCCGGGCCGCCAGTATCAGAGCGCGCACACTTAACCGCTAAGCCACGGAGCCGGCCCAAGGTCCTTAATTCTAATCACATCTGCAAAATTCTTTTTGTCTTATAAGGTAACATATTCATAGGTTCTGGGAATTAGGGGTGCACAACTTTGGGGGGGCATTAATCTGCCTACCACAGTGAAGGAAAAAAAGAAACAAATGGAGAAAAGTGTCACATTCTCAAATGGGAAGACTTACTATTGTAAACACTTCATTTCTGCCTAAATTAGCCTACAAATTCTGTACATGATGCTTTAATGATAACTGAAATTGGATGTCGAATCAGGTGAGTGGATAGATGCTCAGAGAAGACTGCATTGTTTAGAAAAATAAAGAAACACATTTCTTGTAGACTTTAACACAGGTAGACTGCACGTATTCTAGAGACAAATACACCAGTGTTCTGCATAAGGGCAAAGTAATGTTTCCCATTATGTTTCCAATATTCTTACTGTTAACATCCACCATTTTTCTAGTCACCTTATGTTAGGCACACATTTGACTGACACCATGAACTATCTACAGAGGCTCCTACTACCTTTTCCTTATTCATATCCAAGAGATCAAGACTGCATCATCTTATATGCATAGTTTCACATTATTTCCCCAACACATCATTTTTACACTTGTCAAATCTGAAATTCATTTTATTTTTCTGTCCATTCACACAGCTTCATGAAAACTTTCAGCAAAAGTTGCTGGCAGATGGGCACTGTGTCTTCTCTGTTTACTTGTGAACTTACTTAGAAAAATGTTTCTAAAGAAACATTTCTTCACTTAAGAACTATTTCCATCATGATGCTTCCTCAGAGACGTGGATGATACCATGGAAAGTGCCAGGCAGGACAGATCACATGGGTGGGTGCAGATTCTGTCATAAGGTTTTTATTCCCTCCACTTCTGTGCATACTTGGGGATGTCGGGTGAAAATGAATAAGAGAAAAGTGAGCTTGTATCCCCCCTCCAAAGAAAATAACTTTTGTAAAAATGCCACTCGACTTGCAAAGAGGCTCATATAATGACTAACTCTCCTTACAGATGTGGTTAGTTCATTCAATGAACAGTTATTTCAAGGCAATTGTCATGCTTTATTAACAATAGGTTGGTTTGGAATGTATCCTATTGATAAATGCCTGGAAACAAAACAGTCGCCGTTGTTCAATCCCCAACACCAAGCACACTGTCCTCTGAAGACACATCTCAGACGTCATTCTGACCCCCTAGATTAAATTTAAGGTCAACCACGGGTGTCTTTGCATGCTCAGTCTCCTCCTTTCTTACCTTTACTAGCCAGAACATGGGAGTGAAGAACCTTTCCTAAGTTAATATTGCATTTACAGAGATCCGGTGACGTCCCGGGGAGGGCCGAGGCCCGACAGCCTGGCGGAGTCCAGATGCGGTCGCCCTCACCCGCTGGACACAGGTCAGGACAAAGTGGTCAGGGAGAGTCCAGGGAGGCACAGCCCGAGTCTGCAGCTTCCCAGAGGGTGGAGGCAACGATTCCACCGGCATCTACAGGACCGCCTCACTCCCCTAGCTCCAGCCGAGAAACCAAAACAGCCACAGGATGCGGGATAACGGCATGGAGCAGCCCCGCCCCCCGGGGCTCGGTCGCGCATGCGCATCCCGGAGGCCTTTGCGCAGGGCGGGGTGGGTCTCGGAGAGAGAGGAGGAAGGGCGGCGGTTGGGCGAGAGGAGAGCCACGCCCACCGCGCCAACGTCTCTGCGCATGCTCCGGCCGCCAGATTCTGGTATTTTCGACGCGTCTGTGGACGGTCCGCTCTGTTCGCGTCGGGACGGTGGGGTGTTGCGAGTTGGCTGTTCGAGAGCAGCTGCGAAAGCCCCTCTTCGTCCTCAGCGTCGAGGGGAAGGCGTTCTTTGGGCCTTTCTCTCCGTCTTAAGTGAGGCGTCGCCGGCGCGTGGTAAGTTTTCTGGTGACGGGCTCGGTCGCCGGTACCTCAGGCGCGGGATGGGGGCCCGCTGACTGGCTTCGGGCCTTCACTTCGTTTCCTCCGGTTCGTTTGCAGGAACGGAGCTTCCGGGGAGGGATCCTCCGGGAGAAGGCAGCGATGTCCCGCTACGTGAACGACCTGTGGCCGGGCTCGCCCTCGGCCGCGCGCTCGGGCCGGTCCAGCCGGCTGTCCTCGGCGTCCGGCAGCCGCTCGTCCTCCGGAAGCTCTGGGGCCCGGGCCCGCGTCTCGAGTCGGTCGGCGTCCGGGAGTCGGAGCCCGCCGCGGAGGGCGGGCTGCGCCGGGTCCCGGGCCAGGAGGCGCCGCCAGCGGAAGTACAGGCGCTACTCGCGCTCCTACTCGCGCAGCCGCT